TTTTTTTTTTTTTGGGGGGTCTATTTTCGTGTTTTTCTTCAATATTTTTCCAAAAAAATAAAATTTTAAAATAATTTAACTGAAAATTGAATGAAATGTTACAGATTTAGACGGCAGGGGGAATTGGCGAAAAAAATTAGTTCATATCCTTAATTTTCTAAAAAAAAAGGATAGGGGGCTAATTGAAACTAAGGTACAAATTCAAGGGGCAAATCACTAGTATACCCTTAATTTTTCGACCAAACCAAAAGACCATTAATTTAGTCCGACACATTAGGCGGGGCCCACCCAATTTCTAGAATCTCCGAGGTCTTTCTTCTACCTCAATCCACTTGTCACCATTTAAAACAGCCACCAGTCTAAGCTCACTTCACATATTCCTTGGAAAAAGTTGCTCGCTTTCTTCTCCATTTTTGTTTTGATCTCTTGATTCTCAGAAACTCAATCCCAAACCAAACCCAGTTGAGCAAGGATGTCAATCGTCCCAATCAACGAGCAACGAGGCAGTGACTTCGACCCTTCCTTGGCTCTTGACCTGTGGGACCCATTCACAGATTTCCCTTTCCCATTCCCTTCCTCACTCTCCAACGTTTTCCGGGAATTCAATCTGGGTTCTTCAGTAAACTCAAGACTAGATTGGAGAGAGACCCGAAATGCCCACATCCTAAAGGCGGCTCTTCCTGCGTTCATGAACGAGGACGTGCTTGTGGAGCTTCAAGACGAGCGAGTGCTTCAGATTAGTACAGACAGCGGTAGCTTCATGACAAAGTTTAAGCTTCCAGAGAACGGCAAGATTGAGCAGCTTAAGGCCTTCATGAGCAATGGGGTTCTCACTGTCACTGTTCCTAAGGAGGAGCCCAGCAGACCCAATATCAGAGCCATTGAAATTTCTGGCGAAGATTAAGGTGGTGAGGTACTCTTTTGGCTAATTTAAGATAATGGGTAGCTGCGTTTTGTGTCAGAATGTGAATAAAGTTTGTGTCTTTATGTGATTGAAATGTATAAAAAATAGGTGTGAGTTTGTAATGCTTTTAGCTGAACTTAATGTGCTATGTTGTATGATGTTAGATGTTGCGTTCATCTACTCTGTATTGTACAAAATATTAGAAATGATGATCTTTGCAATAACTGATTCTGCTAATGGAGTATGAAATTGGATGCTGTGTTCATCTACTTTGTATGGTACAATATATAATGGATGATGAAATTTGCAATAACTGATTATGTATTTACATTGAGTTGTTGATATCATCTTTAGCATTTATGCAATTAGAATGACAAGATTTGGTCTACCAATTCATTCAAGGAATTGTAGGAAGAACCGGCTTGCCTCGTAGAAAGTTCAATTTTCACCTTCAAATCTTTTGCTCTTTGCCTTATCACTTCCCCTTCTTTGCCCACCATAAGCATTCTTATAGCTCCCTCTATTGGTCCTCTGTTCATATCATTCTCCCATTCCAACCCTACACCCCATACTTGGCTCAAGTACCTTGAGTTCACTCTTTGGTCCCCAAAATATGGTTGGCATATCATTGGAACTCCTTCAGAGGTGCTTTCAATGCTTGAGTTCCAACCGCAATGGCTCCAAAACCCTCCAACTGCGCTGTGTGCCAAGACCTGCTTTTGGGGTGCCCATTTCGTTATGCAACCCCTTTCTCCAACAGTTTCTTGGAAACTTTCTGGCAATGATATGGAGTCGGTTCAAACCACCCACAAGAAAGGGTGCTCACTGTTGGCCAGACCCCACGCCATTTCAGCCAGTTCTTTACTGTCCAAGAAGGCTATGCTTCCCACGCTTACATAGATGACAGTTGTGTGATTGTTTGTCCAGCCATGAAATGCAATTCTGGTCCTCTTTCAATAAGCTGATGGAGGGGGTTGGAATAGTTCTGTGCAGAGGACCGATAGGAAACAATGGAAGTTGATATTCTTGCCAGAGATGTGCCAATGATGATTGTTCGAGGCAGTCCATGGTGTTCCAAATGATGGCAGAAGATGGCCTTGAATCGTGGGCTTTCACTATTAGTTGCAGTAAGTCATCCAAATCTCTGAAATTGGTAATTAGTAGGTCATTAAATCTGAGCGGTTCAAGGCCTGGTACCAGTTCCAGCATCATAGCATCTGCACCCAGATAGGTCGAGTACCAGAGAGCTTAAGGTTAGTTCAGGCATAGGTTAAAGTTATTTTATGAGAACCAGAGAGTCATAGAGCCTTATTTCTCATGAAAAGATTAAAAAAGTGATTAATTAATTGATCTATTTGATGTATTAACATCTCATACAGCAGCACTTAGAAAGATGAAAGATGTCTGATTGTTACACACCTGGAATTGGAATGTAACCATCTTTTAGGAGCCCAGGAATTGCTTGGTAAGTCAGCATGTTTGCTGCACTGCTAGTATACAATATAATGCTAGGAAGCCCTAGATGATTAGCCACCCCTTCCGAGAAATACATGTATTCATCATAGATGATGTATGCAATCTTACTATGTTGATCCTCTTTCTCCATCATCCGAGCCAATGACTCCCGGAGCGGGGCTTTGCAGTTGGCATTAAAACCTGATATCACATCTATAAAATTGTGGACGAGACATTTTGCCCATGTAAGCCTTCATACATCTCTAAGAAGTTGAAATCAGGGTAGTTCAGTGGGTTGGGAAAGTTGAACTGGGTGTGAGTGATTGCGATGTAGAAGCCCCTGGAGTGAAGGATAGTGCCGAGTTGAAGCATCGGAGTTATGTGCCCTTGGAATGGGCATGGAACCAGAACCAATCTGCGGCATCTATGTTGTTTTTCCATCTCTCTTTCTGAGAACAGGTTTGTGTAGCAGGAATAAGTATTTTGGGCTTGTCAAAGAAGTTGTAAATCCATTCCTTGTAGCTTATAGACTAGCTACATCAAAAGTCAGCATTGAACTCATTCTGTGTATAGAGAAAATTCCTTATTAAGTTTGAAAATTAGGGTACTTTAACTACATTTCCCGGAAACTAGTCCATATTTTAAAATAAGATAGAAGACTTTGGAGATTAATTTAATAATAACCCAATATAATAACCTTTGGGGAAGGAAATTTCATGGCTGAGAGCCGATTGGATAACGAAAGCTAGACAATTGGCTTTAGTTGGTCTTTAGTCATAAGGCAGCAAGCCAAAGAAGCCCATTTTTTGCTTCATTATGAAGTAATAGGGTTTTGATTTTGTTACTTGTTATGCCTGAAAATGTTAGTCAATTAACATAGATACAAAATTAAAGCTAGAACACAGCCAGTTCAATGTAAGAGAGACAGATGTTAAGTTAACTCTTGTCTGGCAATGCTTGACCCACTACAGAGGGATGAATAATTGACATCGTTATACCTGTCTTTATTTTATTCTTTTTGCTTATTTAATTTATTATATTTACACAAGACCTCCTGTTGTGGGGTACTTAAGCTGAGACAATTGACATTGTTGGTCTCCCCTCGGCCATATGTTTTGTTTGGGTACAAATTTCTTTGGGGTTCTATATACCTAACTAAATTAAAGCGAAAATCTAGTTGGTCCCTTTTAGTGCTCTTAACTCTAACAGAACCACCTACACCTCCTTAGTTTGGTAGAGAAGATCAATGAAACAAGAGCATAAAAACAATTTTTACTTTATTCAAAGCTGAGGATGGACAACAGAAGTTTTTTTTTTGGACATCCATATGCAGGAAGCCTCATCTATCAATGTCTGAAGAAGGGACATAGTGGTAAAAAATCCACTGTTGTTGCAATTACAATGACATGATAAGCTCCACAAGCTTATTCAAGAAACTGTAAGAAGAGCCACCCTTCTTCATACAAACTTCTATTTTCTCCTTCAAATCTTTGGCCCTTACCCTCATCCCCTCCCCATCATCATCTACCATCAGTGTTCTCACAGCTCTATCTATCTCTCCTCTTTCTAACTCATCCTCCAATTGTACACCTACTCTCCATACTTGGCTGATATACCTTGCGTGCACCTTCTGATCGCCAAAACTCGGCGTGCATATCATTGGAACACCTTCAGATAAACTTTCTAGGGTTGAGTTCCAACCGCAATGGCTCCAAAACCCACCCACTGCTCCATGAGCCAAAACTTCTCTTTGGGGTGCCCATTTGACAATGCAACCTCTTTCTCCAACAGCTTCTATGAAACCTTGAGGCAATGTCTCATTCCAATCTAAACCACAAATTGAGCCAGGTCTGATCACCCACAAGAAAGGTTGATTGCTGTTAGCTAATCCCCAAGCCATTTCACCTAGTTCCTTCTCACTGATGGATGCTACACTCCCCAAGCTTACATAGATAACTGACTTATGAGATTGCTTTTCGAGCCACGCAATGCAGCTGGTGTCCTCTTCTAGTAAACTACTAGAGCCTGCTGGTGCAATCTTGTGAAGAGGACCTATAGAGAAGATTGGAACTTGACATTGTTGCTGGATCTGTGCTAGTGATGATTGTTCAAGGCAATCCATGGTGTTCCAAATGATGGCTGAGGCCATCCTAACATTGCCCGCATTAACGGCTAGTTTCGAATAGTTTTCAAATGTGTCCAAGTTGGAGGTGGGCAGATCCTTGAACCTGAGGGGATGAAACTGGGGCACCGGATTCAGTGACAGAGAGTCTGCAATCCAGAGTTGTGCTCTTAGTTATAAGCAAGAAGAATGAAAATCATACAACATGGCAGACGGAAACATTAGCTCTACTATTCAAGTAAAGCATTGGAATTTTGGGATTTCAACTACCAGCGCTATTATAATAGCCTTTAAGATGGATACACATGCATACTGTGTTCTGATCAGGAAATATATCGCACATACCTGGGAATGGAAGGTGATCTTCTGAATGAAGTTGTAGGACAGCACTGCGAGCAAGAAAATTTGTAACACTGGTAGTGCGTAACATGATGCTTGGAATGTCTAGATGACGAGCCACAGCTTCAGAGAAGTACATGATGTCGTCATGGATGATGCAGGTGATTTTATTCTGCGGTTCTTTTTCCATCACTTCAGTCAAGGTTTGTTCAAAACTCGCTTTGCAATTGGCATTAAGAGCCAACAGAATGGCCATTATATTCCCAGATGATATCTCATCAGCAGTTAAGCCATCTGGTATTGGAAAAAAGGTGAATTCAGGATGGTTTGAAGGGTTAGGAGAGTTGAAATGGGTGTGAACAATTGTAATGGAAAAGCCCTTTGAGTGAAGGAAGGTACCCAACTGAAGCATTGGGTTAATGTGGCCTTGGTATGGACATGGGAATAAAACCAACCTTTGACTACTCTGTGTTCTCTTTTCCATCTCTCTCTCTCTCTCTCTCTCTCTCTCTCTCTCTCTCCAATAGGTTACAGCTATTGGAAACTGTCTTGCTTTGTGTTGGTGCTTATAGAATTTTATCATAATATAGCAATTCAGTTTCTGGTGAATAATACGGCACTTCTTTATTCCGCACATGCCATGCTAAATTAGAAATAAATTTGTTCTTTTATATAATTTTTGTGTGTGGAGATAAGCATGTGATTCTAGCAGTTGGTTGTTGTAGTTTTTAAACAAATTTTGGAATCTTGTCTTTAAAGTACTGAAAATATACTGGCTGGGTTACAGAGAGAGACTTTATAGTATAGTGCCTCAGTCATGCATTATCCTGATAGAGATGCTCAGCTACCAGTTCTTTATCATCTACATCTTCATGGATTAAGGCGCTAAGGACCGATTCTCTCATCCTCTTTCAGAAAGAAATCTTGACTTAGTGGTTTAAATGATCTTAGAACTCTCTATCTGTCATCAATTGGTTTTGGGTTGAATGCTCGCCTTCTAATAACTTTTTTTAGCTTTATGGTAAATCTATTTTGATTTTTTATTATAAAAAGTTCAAGAGAGAATGATAAGCACGGATTGTTTGTTTGATAAATACTAAATTATAAATCCTAAACTTCAACGAAAGGGTTTAGGTCATAATCAGATGGTCTTATATCACAAGCAACATGTGGTTTTTGAAGTTGGAAAGAAAGATGTTCACTCTTTATAGCATAAATGGACAGAGTTCAAAAATTGAGTGGCTGGTTGTTCAACGGCCAGGCTGTTCTAGTTCTGAAGAAGCAATTTCATGTAGGCCATCATACCAGAGGCGAAATAGGCCTACTCGCCAACATCATTCAACATCTCCAACCAGATTGTACCGCCAGTGTAGGTGTGTGTTTATTTGTCACGCTAGTAATAATATATTGAGAATGCATAAATACATTTTAATTACTCTGGTTGAAAAGAATGTGGAGTGAGAATGGAAACTCAAAGCAACTGTTTGCAACTTATGAAACAGAACATGACTTGTGTGACAAGCAAGAAGCCCAAGATGTCAGCTTTCCAAGATCACTCAGAGGGCAGGAGCTGAAAGGCACTTGTTTGGGCTTAAATCGTGGGATTTCGTTATCAGTTGCAGTAAGTCATCCAAATCTCTGAAACATTTTTATGTATGAGAACCAGAGAACATCAAACCGTAGTTCTCAAGAAAAGGATAAAACAATGTCAATGTAGCTTTCAGAGAGATGAAAAGGGTTAATTACTGTAGACGTTCGTGAACTATGGCCCCAGTTGCAATTGGGTCCGTGAACTAATTTTTGTGCCAATTACATCCTTTAATTAGACAATTAGTTGCAATTGGGTCCTACCGTCCAATTATGTCAATTTATCCGTTAAAATGAGGGGTAAAAGCGTCCTTTCGGGTTAAATAAATAATAATAATAAATAATATACAGTTTGTAAAACTAAAAAGAAAAACTAAAAAAACTGAATAATAATAATAATAATAAAATAAATAAATAAACTTAAAAATAAAAAATCCAAATCCAAATTCCTCTCTCTCTCTCTCTCAGCTCTTCCTCTCTGTCTCTCCCTCTCTCCTACAACCCATTCCCCCTCCTCCTTAGTCCACCCCCTCAAAACCCAAATCCAATTGCAATTGCAGGTTTTATTTTTAAGTTTTTTTTTCACCTTTGTCTTTCTCTCTCTCTCTCTCTTGATAGACTTGGTGCGGATGGATATGTGGGTTACGGCAGGCGAAGAACTTGGTGACGAAGACGATGGCATGGCCTTGACGAAGAGGATGGTGTGGCCTTGGCAACG